TTGGGTCCTCCCACTGATAAGAAGCACTATTCATTCCACTGATACAAGGCACTATTCCTCCCACTGACACCAACAATGGAGCACTATTCCTCCCACTGACACCAACAATGGGGCAATATTCCTTTCACTGACACCAAATGATAGGGCACTATTACTTCCACTGATACCAACCCTGGGGAAATATGCTTTCTGCTGACACTAATGATGGGGCACCATTCCTCCTACCAGGGGCGGACTGACCATTTGGAAACTCGGGCACTGCCCGAGGGCCCGGGGTCAGTAGGGGGCCCCATGAAATTCCCCTGGTATCTTTTATAGGCTTTTTTGGGTGTGGGCAAGGACATAGGGGCCCCATGATCCCCTATTGCCTGGGGGCCCAACGAGTTATCAGTCCACACCTGTTTCAGTGGCTTTATTTTCCTCCGTAGTTCAGCAATGCAGCTTGGAAACAGACTGTTGATTGGGCAAGGAAAGAGACTCACCATACTGACGAGATCATCACGCTGCTCTCTCTCTGTCCATTGGAAAGCACTGTGCAATGCTTTGGAGGGTGGTTGCCAAACTTCAGTCCTTTGCTTGTCTTTATCTGGCCCTTGGGTCCTCCCACTGATAAGAGGCACTATTCATTCCACTGATACAAGGCACTATTCCTCCCACTGACACCAACAATGGGGCAATATTCCTTTCACTGACACCAACAATGGGGCAATATTCCTTTCACTGACACCAACAATGGGGCAATATTCCTTTCACTGACACCAATGATAGGGCACTATTACTTCCACTGATACCAACCCTGGGGAAATATGCTTTCTGCTGACTCCAACGATGGAGCACTATTCCTCCTAGCAGGGGCGGACTGACCATTTGGAAACTCGGGCACTGCCCGAGGGCCCGGGGTCAGTAGGGGGCCCCATGAGATGCCCCTGGTACCTTTTTCATAGGCTTTTTTGAGTTTGGGCAAGGACACATGGGCCCCATAATCCCCTATTGCCCGGGGGCCCCATGAGTTGTCAGTCCGCCCCTGCCTCCCACTGATACTAACAAATGGAGCATTATTCCATCCACTGATGCCAATTATGAGGAAATATTCCTTCCATTGACACCAACAAATACAGCATTATTCCTTCCACTGATACCAATAATGTGAAAATACTACTTCCACTGCAAATTATTTATTTATTTCAGGTACTTATATAGAGCCATCAATTTACGCAGCACTTTACACATATATTGTACATTCACATCGGTCCCTAACCCTCAAGGGGCGTACAATCTAAGGTCCCTAATTCACATTCATACATACACATACTAGGGCTAATTTAGGCAGGAGCCAATTAACATACCAGCATGTCTTTGGAGTGTGGGAGGAAACCAGAGTACCCAGAGGAAACCCACACAGACACAGAGAGAACATACAAATTCTAGGCAGGTGGTGCCATGGTTGGGATTTGAACCAACGACCCTAGTACTGCCAGGTGGAAGTGCTAACCACTTAGCCACTGTGCTGCCCTACCAATAATGGTGTGGATATATTACTCCCACTGACACCAATGGTGGGGCACCATTCCTTCCACAGTTATAAATAATTGGGCACCAATCCTCCTCCTATCGACCACAGGTACTATGTAATCTCTTTACTCTCACTGACCACACCAAGCCTGAGACACTGTCCAAGCCCTATGGTGCTGGGGCATTTTCTACTCCCACTGGCCACAGTACAAGCTCCCTAAAGTCTGAAGAACAGTAAACTGGCCCTTTCTTTAGAAAGTTTGGAGACCTCTGCTTTAGAGCAGCCTTTCTCAACATTTTTCCACAGAAGAACCCCCCAAAAATGTTCACATCTTGAAGAACCCATGCTTAAAAACGTTTACTGGTGGTCAGTAGAAACAATGCAATGTGGTGGCTAGAATGCCACGTTTACAGACAGCTAAAAAGATTACTGGGTTCCTGTAGCTAGCTCTGCAAAATGGTGCTGACCTCAGGACTATGCAGGAACCACCACGAGAGGTCAATCAGCCACAGCTCAAGGAGCTCCTAGCAACCTCTGGAGGAAGCCTAATGTTCCACAGAACCCTGGTTGAGGATGGCTGGTTAGGAAAACAACTGGTTTACTCTACTACTTCCCCTAGGAACACATTCCTGGAAGTTCATATAAAGACAGATTCAGGTAGTCATACTAGTTCTATGAAAAAATAATTACAAATGACTGTAATATGGGTTTGATGTTTCACCCAAAAGGATTGTGGAAATCCTACTCGGTCTGGTTGCAATGGGTTGTATAAAACTCAGCTGGGCTTTGATGCTTGTAGGCTGGAGTTACACGTAAAGTATCTCAGCCAAATACATTAGATGTGTCCAATGTTTATATGACCCCTTAAAGGAAAGTTATAGGTGAGCAGCCAAAAAGAATTTACAACAGGCCATTAATTTCCAGAAACACAAAGACACATACCAGAACTGCCAGATGGCCAGAAGATCTTGGTCTTAGAATGTGTTCAGTTGTAGGCATTCATGTACACTAGGGTGGGGTTAGAAGCCGCTCATTAACCTATTGATATTGGAAAGACTGCTATACAACCATGGGGAGAACCTACATAAATTCTCAGGGCTGTGGATAAGGGGGTACCACTAGTCCCCCTGTACGGGGCCCAGGCCAGCAGAGGGGCCCAGGTAGCTAGGTGAATCGGATGTGGGCAGGGAGGGTGATCGGCATGGCAGGGGTGCAGTTACTGGAACCGATCCCCTGTATGGCTCTCTCTGCTGCAAGCTGGCTTCTTCTCTCCCTCCTGCTGGCTTTCAGCTGTTGCAGAGAGAGTCATACAGGGGATCAGTTCCAGTAATTGCACCCATCACCCTCCCTGTACACCATACGTTTCTCCCCTGTGTGCCCCCCTACCCCTCCAGTGCTTCTGGCTTCTCCTCTCCCTCCCGCTGGCTTTCAGCTGTTGCAGAGAGAGTCATACAGGGGATCGGTTCCAGTAATTGCACCCATCACCCTCCCTGTACACCATACGTTTCCCCCCTGTGTGCCCCCCTACCCCTAGAGTGCTTCTGGCTTCCCTCCTCTCCTTCCCACTGGCAGATGGAATAGGATCCAGGGGTGGACTGACCATTCAGGCACTCGGGCACTGCCCGAGGGCCCAGGGTCAGTAGGGGGCCCCATGAAATGTCCCTTGTACCTTTTTATAGGCTTTTTTGGGTATGCTTTGAGTGTGGGCGAGGACACAGGGGCCCCATGATCCCCTATTACCCGGGGGGGTAATTCCAACCTGACTATGTAACTTCAAAGGTAAAAAACTTAAAATATGAATCTGTGAAATGTTTTACGTCTCAAAAGATCAGCAATGCTGTTGAGCCAGCCGGTCTTCAGAAACTATTTCAGTGCAGGGGGGGACTGACCATTTGAGCACTCGGGCAGTGCCCGAGGGCCCGGGGTGAGAAGGGGGCCCCGTGAAATGTCCCTTGTACCTTTTTATAGACTTTTTTGGGTGTGCTTTGAGTGTGGGCAAGGACACAGGGGCCCCATGATCCCCTATTACCCAGGGGCCCCATGAGCTGTCAGTTCGCCCCTGAAAGGATCCTTCAGGATGGAGAGTGGAGGAAGGGTCTGGTAATAAAGTCACATTTACCAGCCCTTTCCTTTCCTGAATGGACACAGTGAGTAATTGGTACTGATCTCTCACTGTATTCACATATAACTGAAGCATAGTAACCAGTTTGTTTGGTTTTTTTTTTTGGGGGGGGGGCCGTTAGATATATTTATTACCTCTCACAGAGATCACAGTACTCCCCCCTGATAATGCCTTCATCTGCCTTTTCTCCTCCAGAACGACGGAGCCACTTTTTTTCAGGCATCATTCAGGGTCTTCGTCTACTTCCTAAACGTAGATGCCGGCTCATAGATGTAAATCCTTGTGCCTGTGTTCACGATTGTTTGACACAAATCAGCCCTCTGCTGCAGTCTCTCACAAAGTTACAATGTGTATCACTTGGGGACTGAGCAAATGCCGCCTCCTGCCTGCAGCACGCTAATGTCATCTCACTGGACTACAGCTCAAGTTCTGCTTTTTCTGATAAAAAAATTATTTTTTTATCATTATTATATTATTATACAGGATTTATATAACGCCAACAGTTTGCTCAGCACTTTACAATATAAAGGGAGACAATACAGCTACAATACAGTTCAGTACAAGAGGGTTAGGAGGGCCCTGATCCTGGGAGCTTACAATTTAGGAATTATTAAATGATACTCTCTAAACCATTGGCAGCGCAAGTAAATATAATAATAACATAAAAGTGATACAATTATATATAAAATATGAATGTGTTACTAAACCCAAAACTGTAAAATCAGTCTGTATATGCAGTAAAGCATGCTTGGTATACTCACTGTGGAACCATAATCCTCTGCATTATGTAAAAAGGCTATTTGATCCTGTCTTCTCTGATCCTCCCCTTCTTCTATTATCCCCAATCCATCTGCTGCTCTAGGAGTCACTCTGCACATGCTCAGTTTAGTGTGTATGGCTAGAGAGTTTCTTTTTCTTTTGGAGGGTGAATGTGATCAGCACAGGGCTATGCAGCCTCATAGGACAGTCAGAGTAGAATGAAAACTCATCCAACAAGCTTTAACCAGTGCTCCGCTGGATACTGATGGAAGTCACAAGACTGCTATTCACCACTAATGAGAAGAGGTATTTAACATTTTTTATTTACTAAAATAATTGCATTTCCATGTTCTGTGTACTGTGGGAGACCAGATATAGTAAATGCAGGGTCCGGGGAGACCGGATATAGTGAATGCAGGGTCCGGGGAGACCAGATATAGTGAATGCAGGGTCCAGGGAGAGCAGATATAGGGAATGCAGGGTCCGGGAAGACCAGATATAGTGAATGCAGGGTCCGGGGAGACCAGATATAGTGAATGCAGGGTCCATGGAGAGCAGATATAGAGAATGCAGGGTCCGGGGAGACCAGATATAGTGAATGCAGGGTCCGGGGAGACCAGATATAGTGAATGCAGGGTCCATGGAGAGCAGATATAGAGAATGCAGGGTCCGGGGAGACCAGATATAGTGAATGCAGGGTCCGGGGGGTCCAGATATAGTGAATGCAGGGTCCCGGGAGACCAGATCTAGTGAATGCAGGGTCCTGGGAGACCAGATATAGTGAATGCAGGGCCCGGGGAGACCAGATATAGTGAATGCAGGGTCCGGGGGGGTCCAGATATAGTGAATGCAGGGTCCCGGGAGACCAGATCTAGTGAATGCAGGGTCCGGGGAGACCAAATAGTGAATGCAGGGTCCGGGGAGACCAGATATAGTGAATGCAGGGACCGGGGAGACCAGATATAGTGAATGCAGGGTCCTGGGAGACCAGATATAGTGAATGCGGGGTCCGGGGAGACCAGATATAGTGAATGCGGGGTCCGGGGAGACCAGATATAGTGAATGCGGGGTCCGGGGAGACCAGATATAGTGAATGCAGGGTCCGGGGAGAACGGATATAGTGAATGCAGGGTCCGGAGAGACCTGATATAGTGAATGCAGAGTCCTAGGAGACCAGATATAGTGAATGCAGGGTCCGGGGAGACCAGATATAGTGAATGCAGGGTCCTGGGAGACCAGATATAGTGAATGCAGGGTCCGGGGAGACCAGATATAATGAATGCAGGGTCCGGGAGACCAGATATAGCGAATGCGGGGTCCGGGGAGACCAGATATAGTGAATGCAGGGTCCGGGGAGAGCAGATATAGTGAATGCAGAGTCCTAGGAGACCAGATATAGTGAATGCAGAGTCCTAGGAGACCAGATATAGTGAATGCAGGGTCCGGGGAGACCAGATATAGTGAATGCAGGGTCCGGGGAGACCAGATATAGTGAATGCAGGGTCCGGGGAGAGCGGATAAAGTGAATGCAGGGTCCGGGGAGACCTGATATAGTGAATGCAGAGTCCTAGGAGACCAGATATAGTGAATGCAGGGTCCTTGGTTTAGAAACACTTTAAGTCCATTCCACTGAAAAATATAGTGAAAGTGAAACATTTTCATTATATTTTTACGTGTAATGGTCATTATTGTATATACTTGCGCTGCCAATGATTTAGAGATTTTATTGTAGGATTATGTTTTTCATTCAATTTAAAGCTGCAGCAGTATTTAAGTTTAAGAGGGTAGTTTGCTATATTATTTCACTTATGATTTGTAGGGTATTATCACATTTGTTTTTTAGATTTCACTACATATTCCACATATTCGTATATCATTTTATTTATATAAGTGGATTTCACTCTTTTGGTTTTTTTTTTTCTCACTTCATTTTGCAGTGATTGGGATTTAGACATTATTATTATACAGGATTTTATATGGCGCCAACAGTTTGCTCAGCACTTTACAATATTAAGGGAGACAATACAGCAACGATACAGTTCAATACAAGAGGGTTAGGAGGGCCTGATCCTTGGAGCGTACAATCTAAGAGGGAGGGGCTAGTGGTACAAAAGGAAATAACTGTGGGGGATGAACTGATAGGAGGAATAGAAGATTCCATTATTAGCTGAAGGCAGGATATGCTTCCCTGAAGAGATAGGTTTTCAGAGATTGCCTAAAAGTGGGCAGAGTAGGTGATAATCAAATAGATTGGGGTAGGAAGTTCCAGAGGATGGGGGAGGCTCTGGAGAAGTCCTGGAGACGAGCATGGGAGGAGGAGACAAGACAAATTGCAGGAGGTCGAACTTTATTTGTTAGGCAATGGGAAGCCATTGGCAGAAATGGAACAGTTAGTAAAGTGGATGAGTCTGGAAGCAGCATTCATGGTAGACTGAAGAGGGGACATTAAATGACACTGTTGCTGGATATTGTGACATGGAAGGAATTTATTTATGCAGGCTTATACATTTATTGAATAATCCACTTTAAGAATGTTCTTAGCACTTTTATAGGAAGTGGCAGGACAGTCAGTGCAAGCCAAGTTCTCTCTAGGGCAATGGCACACAACTATCAGCCCCGAGGTTTTGTGTGGCACTCCGGCGCTTCCTTGGCGGCACTCCTGACCATGATGAATATTTAGTCACTAATACTAATTTTTTATTTATCAACCCTCAGATTCCTTTGAACATTTCCTCCGTCAAACCACTCTAAAGCAGTAGATTTAATGAGATGTCTACAAAATTCAGTCACACCAGTGTGATTTTACGTACGATTTGCGAATTGAAATTGCACCTGAAATTGCAACTAATGAATGTGAAAGTCTGTGTCTTAACTAAAGTAGTTCTTGCATGACTTTTTCTGCAGTTTTGTTGCGATTTCACATATATAGCATATAATGAAAATCGCACTGCAATTTAAAAGAAATCTTTGAAAATCATCTTCACAAGTAGCAATAAAGTCTTCAGAAATTGCACTGAAATTGAATTGAAATTGCGCACAAATCACAAGAATTTAAATCGCAATGGTGTGACCGGTGACTCAAACTTTCTAAAATAAACTTGAATTTCCACCACAATGGTCAAGTGTAGCTCCTTGTATCCCACAGCTCCCTACTATGGGATAAGACAAAGTGAGCCCTCCTAAAAAAGCATCTGTAGGACGAGGAGGAACCAACACACTGTGACGTCACGCCGCCGGAGCCACATGCAGGTCCGGCGGGCATCTTTTACATCTTTTATCTCGAAGGAAGTTCACCAGATGCCTGACATACCCCGCTCCCCTAAGTGGTCCGTGGTGAATATTATTTATATGCGCATATTCTATGTGCTTCTGGTGAGTGCGCAATTTTATCATTACTTCCAAGCACAAGCGTTTGAATTCTGCTACAGTTGGGATCATTTATCATCTCTTATCATCTATGAACTTTTATTGTTGTTTTATTGTGCATTGAAGCTGGAAAGGGTTATCATTTTATCAGCGCCGCACTTCATTTACAGACAACTCCCTCCTGCTTGTTCAATGTGACGGGTGGCCTCAATGTCCAATAGGGATGTTGATAGGGGTGGGCGGTTCATTCTCAAGAATGCAGAATAAATCCCCCCAGACCCCACCTAGGACTGACATGCCAATTTTAGGGGGAATTGCCCTTTAACAGGCAGGTCGGCTCTTTATCTTTCCAAACATCCCAAAGCGTTCCTGCCAATCCCAGAGCAACGCAGCAGCGAGGGCGCGCCAAAAAAACACGGCGCTGTCATTCTCCTGGCTGTAATCACTAACAGAGGGCACCTTCCACATAAAACGTAAACCGTTCGCTGGAATAACAGCCACCCATAAATATTGAGACTGCAGGCACTTTAGCTCGGAGAGACGGTAATGCCTCTCATCTCTCGGCTTGTTAAGATGTCTCATTAGGGAATAGCTGTCTGATGTTTAAACATAAGATTACAAGCCGCTGTGAACAAAATCTCCTTTGAAAAGATCTGCCAGCGCTGGGACTCCGGCCTACAAAGTCCCCCACCCATTCCCTGCCAGACCCCGAGCGCTTATGCCAACAATCAGGACGCTCTACAGCTGAACTCCAAGCACATATAAAAGAAGCAGAGAAATGCAGCTCTGTATTCACTAATACATCATTTTTTTCTTTCAAATGCAGGCAGGGTTAGCACTTGAATTTGGCCTGGTATCAGAAGCTTTCAGTACATGTACAGCAGAGCTTAGACTGGGAAGTGAAGCAGCACAAGGAGCCAGTCAGCAGTGCCGTGGCGCAAACAGGGAGAATGCTCATAGGATTAGAGAGCAGAGTGACAGAAGGCTCATTGGTCTGCTGCTTTTCCTTTCTCTAACCAGTCACAGGCTGGGGGAGGGAAAAGGCCTGTAAGTGTCACTTTACTGCAGCAGAGAAAAGTCAGGTCTCTGGCTTTGCTGGAAAAGGCTCTGCTTTGTGGCAGAGCTCTGTAAATCTCAGAACTGTTTGGTAGGTGCGACAGTTTCTGATACATATACATACCAGGGGCGGACTGACCATTTGGAAACTCGGGCACTGCCTGAGGGCCCAAGGTCAGTAGGGAGCTCCATGAGATGCCCCTGGTACCTTTTTCATAGGCTTTTTTGAGTTTGGGCAAGGACACAGGGGCCCCATAATCCTCTATTGCCCGGGGGCCCCATGAGTTGTCAGTCCGCCCCTGATACATACATACAATACACAAGAGAGGAAACAAATCATCCTACATAAGTTGTACCTGTCTATCTGCAGTCTTCCCTTCTCTACATCACTTCAAAGCCCAGAATTTATAAAGCTGGGATCAGCTGTCAGAAAAAAAGGGAGCTAAGAGCTGAAGTTATTTCTGCGGAGCTCAATGAGGAAAGCTCTGAGAGCTGATTGGAAAGAAGGGAATGGACCCCCCCCCCTCCTTCTCACAGCTCACAGGAACAGAGCTGAGGCTGTCAATCACAGGCTGTGTTGCAGAGCTCCCTTGTCTGTCACCTTTTTTCTCTTGGTGTCAGGAAAACTTGTCAGAAGTGACTCAAGCAGCTAGCAGAGGAACGAAACAGCATACAGAAATTACACTTAATGCTCTTAACTGAGACAAGTACACACTATAGAGGGCTTTGTTCATAGTTCATGTCTGAGGTTTACAACCACATAAATAAGTCTACATAACTGAAGGGAATTCAGGGAATCACGGATTTGTATTGGTTGATTACTGGATTCTGCATGTCAAACAAGTTTGTTTTGAACGGGTCTCAAGCCCAGCAGTTGGAACTTCACATGAATCCTACAGTGTTGTGTAGACCAGGATTTATGGTGGAGATCACATTGCATTACAGTGGATTTTTGTAGATGCAGCTTGTCCTATTCAAACGTGTTATGTGTCTATATTCTTATGTTGGTCTCAATAAAACACAACACGTGGGAAACTGAGCAAATTTATGACGTGGGAAATTTATGACACAAATTCTACCCTGGTGACCCTCTAAAAGCCAGCAAACTTTATTTAAAATTGTCAACTGCTCTACAAAGACATCAAATTCCTTCAGGACTCTTTAGAGAAGCAGTCAGGATTACAAAGACAGTCAGAGAATTAGCATCTTGAGAAGGTGAGATCATTGCAAGCAGCCTCCTTAGTTCCTCACAGAACATTTTTTTTTAAATCTCCCATGTAAGTAAAAGCTTTGACTGGGTGGTTTCCTGCAGTAAATCCACTCAAAAATTGTCATTATGATCTGGGGACTCCAGCAGGTTCACCTATCTGTCAACCTGTTGGTGGTCTTCAGAACCTTTAGGCTAGGTTAGCTTAAGTTTACCAGGATCTTCCATGGACCTCAGCAGTGGTACCACAAAAGTTTTTGACAAATGTCTACATTATCCACACCCTGAATAATGTAGACACTTGTTAAAAACTTTTGTGGTACAACTACTGAGGTCCATGGAAGATCCTAGTCAACTTTAGGTTTACCAAGCCAAATGGTTCTGAAAACCACCAACAGGTTGACAGGTGAACCTGCTAAAGTCCCCCATACCATAATGACCACCAACATTGACAGGTGAACCTGACCATACCACCAACAGGTTGACAGGTGAACCTGCTAGAGTCCCCCATACCATAGCAACCATTTTTTAGTGGACTTACCCTTTTCTTTATACCTGCCACCAACTCACAACAGCTTTATGGTATTAAGCAACAGGGATAAATATTGAGGGCTCATTAGGTGGGCAGTACAACCCCAGCTCTACACTTTTGTGGTACCACTGCTGAGGTCCATGGAAGATCCTCGTCAACTTTAGGTTTACCAAATCAAAAGGTTCTGAACACCATCAACAGGTTGACAGTTAGGTAAACCTGCTAAAGTCCCCCATACCTTAATTACCACTAACAGGTTGACAGGTGAACCTGCTAAAGTCCCCCATACCATAATTACTACTAACAGGTTGACAGG